GAGCCACCCAGGCGCCCCTGTTTTTCTTTTAAATTCCACATATAAGTGATATCATAAGATATTAGTCTTTCTCAATTGGACTTGCTTCACTGAGCATAATGCCCTCAAAAATCTCCCTAACTTCTTTCTTTTGATTGGTGTAGTTAGACTATTTACATTTAAATAATTATTAATGTTAAGGCTTAAGCTTGCCCTTTTGTTCTCTGTTCTCTTTTTCATTTATCTTTTTAACTTTCCTGTCTTCCTGTCGGTTACTTGAGTGCTTTTTAGAGTTTCATTTTGACTTCTTTGTAATGTTCTTGAATGTATCTGTTTGCACAGGTGTTTAGTGGCTGCTTTAGGCTTTGCCTTATATGTTAGAATCAGCTTTGTACCGGTTTGAATGTGTTTATCCTGGGTTGTGTTTTATGAGTTTCCAGGAACTGTGCTTTGGTGTCTATCATTAATTTTGGAAAGTTTTCTGCCATATTACATCAAGTATTTCTTCTTCTCACTTGTCTCTTCTGGTATTCCAATTACATTTGTGTTTTTGTTTTTTGTATTAAGTAAGGAAGAAGTCAGGAGGGAGTCGGAATGGGAAGAATTGCCCTCCACCTACTGGGGTAGAGCTTTAACAAAGTCTTTTCCCCTGGAGAGTAGGCTTTTGCTGTGGAAACTACTCTAGACATATTTTGTAGCGTTGACCCCCATGTCCCCGGTCAGAGCTATGAGAGCAACTTTCTCAGATCTTCCCCCTGAGAACCTGGTGATGTTCCTGGAGGCAGAGCCAGTGGAAATGTGGCTGCATCTCCCTCCGTACTGTAGCCCAGAGGAGTTTCTTACACTGATTAATAATACTCAGCCCTCAGTAATTCATCAAAATTACCCCTTGGTTGTTCCTGCTGGTTTATGGCTCCAGTGACTTCTGTTCCAGGCAGTGGACCTCAGCTGTGCCTCTCCGTGTGTACCTGTCTCTCCAGAATTGCTGGGAGGTGAGTTTTCCCTGCCATTCCAGTTCTCTATTGGGTCCAGTAAAAATCACTGGTTTTCAGTGGTGCAGTTTTCCCTTGTGGTAAGGACAAACACAGTGACTTCCAAGCTCTTTACATGGTGGAACTGAGTCTGGAAATTTTTCACGCCATGTTCTCCTTGTCATTTACTTATATTCATTGAAGGAAGAGACTACATCCTCAGGATCTAGGATGCTGACTAGAAAGATTCAATAATGATTGATTAAATAAATTAAATACACATTTGAAATGGCTGTTCGCCTTCCCCGTGTTAAAAATGGGAAAGCTCAAGTTCAGATGTTAAGCAATTTAGCTTCGTAATCAAAAGGGACCTTATCCCAGGATCTTGAATCCAAATTTCACGTGTATACAAAGTGCAATATAATGTAATTATATTTCATTTGCTAAGTGCTATGTACCTTGCTTGAAGGGAGGGAAAAACACTACGCACCGAAGTAATAATGACGAAACTTCTAGTTATTTATAGAATATATTGAACAAGGCTTCCAAAGAAGACTAGGGTCTATTTGATGGGATGGGAGAGACGCCAGGTGTTTCTAGGGAACAGAGTAAGCGAAGTGAGGTGTATCGTTTGAGGGTAATAAGCCATCACAGGAAATGAAGCTAGGCAGTAGATTGGGACTCAAATTCTCATTTGAAAGTAAAACGGTAATTCCGTCTCGTGCTTTACAATCCTAACAAGCAGCTCTTGGTTTCATGCAAGAGTGACCAGGTTGTTAATTCTTTCACATCCCACAATCACGGCGTTTAATATTTATGGTGTTATCCTGTCCTTTCTAAGTGACTTGCCTCCCCACCTCCCTCACACGCTGTGAGGTCCTGGGAAGTGGGGACCAAGCCTCACTCACATCGTTCTGTGTGACGGCACCACAGATGTCGCCCTCAGGATGGAGCACAGGGGAGGGTGTGTAAGACTGGGCGCAGGTTCCCCGGGGCGGCGGGTCCTCGTATCTCTCTGCTGCAGGTTTGTGCATCAGTAGCCAGAAACAGATTGGAATGAGCTACCATTCACATGTCAATTGAAATTATAGGTTGAGGAAGGATAATGCTAATGAAGAGAAACTTGATTCACCAAAACAGTTGCAGAAATTAATGACCCAGGATAATGATGCTAAGAGTCTCCCAGAGATACACGTTTAGTAAGACCACTCAAATCTTGGACTTGAACAGTCCCAGCCAGGAGACCTCCCCATCCTCTGGTCAAGGTGCTGGGGGCTGGAGAGGGACTTAATTTCCTGATCTATAATCCGATGCAAAAAACGTCTCTGAGACCCAGGGAGGAGAGGCTGCTTGCTTGAAGCTAGACATCTTGCTGGTTGCTTCCTTCAACTTCTCTGCTCTAAGCTTGGAGATGAGGGTGGTCTGTGCAATGTAGGGGAGGTCAGGAGGTCGCTTCTCCACATGGTATCCTCTGAGAGGTGAATAATTCCTTGCTCAGCTTGAAGAGTCATTATTTTTGTCTCAGACCACAGAATATTGTGGATATCATACTTCCTAAGCATAGCTATGCAGTAGATATACACATAGAATTTAAATCAAACCGTGGATTCCTAACAGACAATTAGGACCGTAGCATGAGAAGTAGACCATCTCTGGAGGTGTGCACGAGAAAGTGCCTTCCATTCTTGGAAGCTTTCTGAGACATCCCTGAAAGACAGCAGTTGGACCTCAACTTGAGTAGTTCCTGTTACAGGGAGTTCATGCCCCACAAGCTGCCTGGGCAACGTGGCGACCCAGCCGGAATGTTACAAGTTCACGGAGATCGATTTTGCCTCAACAAAAGAGAGGACTTGCCAACTTTTCTTAAAGGGAGCCGGGAATGGCGGAGGCCGAGGAATGATGTTGGTATTGTGGAATCTTATGGAATTAAAAGACGTCCTGTACAAATGGTCCCTTGTAGCCATGTTCAAGGATGCTGGAGAAGGCAGCCGTGGGCTCAGGACCAAGGTGATAAGGAATAACACCGAACTTGGAAAATAAAGGTTAACATAGGAACGGTGGGCAGGGCAAAGATAAGATTGTAAAAGTTCGGGTGAAGGCAGGGCAGAGCAGCCAAGCCGGCTAGCACTGGGGGGCCAGGGACTCTGCGGTGCCTCAACCACTGGGGCATTTTCCTGGCCTAATTATGCGGCCGTGTCACTGTGAGCTTAAGGTAATAAAGAAGATTTACCCTTTTAGGCGAGCCATCTGGCAGATGGAAAAGAGATTCATTACTCCCAGAAATGCATAATCTTGCTTCTGTCGACCTGAAGACAGTGAAATGTTTTCTCCTGGAAACGTTTTTCTCCTAGTCATGGTGGCTTCTCCTTCACACTTTTAGACCTCCACTTTCTCCCGAAAGGAGGTTCTTCTCCTACATGGAGCTGTGGTGGGATCCACTAATCTGATACCATGTAGGTTGCTAGAACTAATATCTCTTTCTGCAATAACTAGATAGAAAATGTGAAACTTAATATGCTGGGTTTAGGAACACTGTTTTCCAGTCTTCTCCAGCTAATTGCACATTCTAACGTGTTAATCACAAGTGTACATCTAATGCCAAGGGATTCAGAAAAAAAAAAATGCAATGACTTTAAAAAGAAAGCTCAGAATCTGTTTGTGCCTGATTTTTGTGTGTTTTCTTCGTGTTCTTTCTTGTGATAGCTCCTTTCCAAGGTAAGTAAAAACTCCTCCAAGATGTCTACTTAGGTTTATAATGGATCCATAGATAAGGAACTGAGAGACATAGGGTAGATTAGGATTTTAGCCTAATTAAAAAAAAAACCATTTTAGGGGTGCCTGGGTGGCTCGGTCGGTTAAGCGTCCGACTTCGGCTCAGGTCATGATCTCGCGGTCCGTGGGTTCGAGCCCCGTGTCGGACTCTGTGCTGACGGCTCAGAGCCTGGAGCCTGTTTCAGATTCTGTGTCTCCCTCTCTCTCTGCCCCTCCCCTGCTCATGCTCTGTCTCTCTCTGTCTCAAAAATAAATAAACGTTAAAAAAAATTTTTTTTTTTTAAAACCATTTTACTTATTTTTGAGAGAGGGAGCGAGAATGAGTGGGGGAAGAGCCAAGAGAGAGGTGGGGGTGGGGGTGGGGACAAAGGATCCGAAGCAGGCTCTACGCTGATGACAGAGCCCTAGTCCGATGCGGGGCTCGAACTCATGAACCATGAGCTTGTGACCTGATCCGAAGTCAGACGCTCAACCACCTGGGCCACCCATGTGCCCCCAGCCTAGTTTTTATCTCTTTGACATATAACCAACTGGAGGAAATGGCAGGGCATCTCTTCTTCTTCTGTTGTTTTTTTTTTTTTCCATATACTCTACATACATTCTCATTATGTTTACACATCATCAGGGAGCTACAAATTCCTGAAGCAATTGTCAAGCATGGCGCGGGCTCAGTGCCTGCTAGAGCTGCAGCTCCCCCCATGTCCTCATCCCCAAGATCACGAAGGCTCAGAGCTGGAGTAGCAGTAAGGCCAGGAGGGGAGGAGGTGATACTGATGGGCTGCAAGGGCAGAAACTCGGTCTCGGTCATGACTTTATTCCTCCACCCTTAGTGGTAAGTGTCCAGGCAAACAGTACAGATGACAGACACATCTTACTTTCCGTAACTCATTCCACAAATGTTCACCAAGCTCCTGCTGTGCTGGGCGCCGCGCTCGATCTGCTGCAGGAGAAACATGCAAACAGGACCCTCACCGATGCGGGGAGGAACAACAGTAGGTCACGGAACAGGACTCGAGGTGCCGAGCGCTTGACTGCAGGACAGGGGATCCTGCGCCCAGGTCTTCCCGGCCCCGGAGGCAGGGCTGGAGCCTCTCCGGTGACGGGTAGCGCAGTGGGCTGGACTGTGCTCCAGCAGCAAGGTCGCCAGCTCTGGACACCAGAACTACGGGGGCTTCTCCGGCTGTCCCTTCAGAGCGGCTCTCGCTGTTGACTGCGGTCATAACAAACCATCGGTTAACCTGGCTTGAGGTTAGCTCTCCCTTTCTGTTTCTCCTCAGTTTTCTCCTCTTCCAGTGTTCCCTCCTTTTCCTAAGCAAGGGCTCAAGAAAGGAAGAAATCGACAGAGAGAAATGACACGCGTTGGTGAGGGGTTTTCTGTAAATTACGTTCGTTAAAGCCCAGCCTTTCCGTAGCCTATTTAATGAATTCCGCTGAGGTCATTTTCAGTCTTCAAGTTCCTTCCCATTTCTTGTATTTCAAAAAGTGAGAGGTTAATTTCTTTCTTTTTAAAAATTAATAGCAACTAATTGGATCTACGATAAAGGCAAAATGGAGCCAATATTCTTACGAATTGTTGGCGTGGATCTCTTCTGGGGAAAATGTGCAGAAGAACTAGGACAATGAGGTATGTTTTTTAACCCCGCTTTTTGTCATGGGTTCTCACTGCACAAAATTTACATACGGGCATGTAGCTGTGACCAGAGAATATGTGGCCAAACAACAAAGGAGCTTGATTTTTTTAATGTCTATTTATTTATTTATTTATTTATTTAATTATTTTGAGAGAGAGAGAGAGAGAGAGAGAGCAAGTGGGGGAGGAGCAGAGAGAGAGGGAGAGAATATGCATGCATATGTATGTATGTATATAATTTTTTTTAAAAAAATTTTTTTTTTCAACGTTTATTTATTTTTGGGACAGAGAGACACAGAGCATGAACGGGGGAGGGGCAGAGAGAGAGGGAGACACAGAATCGGAAACAGGCTCCAGGCTCCGAGCCATCAGCCCAGAGCCCGACGTGGGGCTTGAACTCCCGGACCGCGAGATCGTGACCTGGCTGAAGTCGGACGCTTAACCGACTGCGCCACCCAGGCGCCCCTATGTATATAATTAATACATGTTTTTTTAAAATTTTTAAAAATGTTTTTTTTACTTTTGAGACAGAGAGAGACAGAGCATAAGCAGGGAAGGGGCAGAGAGAGAGGGAGACACAGAATCCGAAGTGGGCTCCAAGCTCCGAGCTGTCAGCACAGAGCCCAACGCGGGGCTTGAACCCGCAGACCGCGAGATCACGACCTGAGCCAAAGTCAGACGCCCAACCGACTGAGCCAGCCAGGCACCCCAATATATGTTTTTATCTATTTATTTATATATTTAATTTTAAAATTTTTATTTATTTTCCCCAGCCTTATTGAGTTATAGTTGACTCATCACATTGCACAGTTTAGGGCATTGATTTGATACATTTATATTTTGCAAAATGATTATCACCACAGCGCAGCTAACACCTCCATCATGTCACATAATTAGCATTTATTTTTCACGGTGAGGACCTTTGAAATGTACTCTCTTAGCAACATAAGAGCATATGATGCAGTATTATCAGCTGGAATCACCCTGCTGTCCATCAGGTCTTCAGAATCTGTTAATCTTGTCAGTGCAAGTTTGTCTGCATATATTTTCGATGTCGGCTTAAAATCTTGCTGAGACCATATTATTAAAGGTAAAACATTCATCTCAAAAACTAGGTTTGAGAGCTAAGTTATGGGATACATAGGAAATAGCTTTGCTTTTGAGCTGGCCTGCATATTTCCTTAGTTAAATCCTGGCGAGTCTCCCTTGCCCAGTGGTTATGAGTTCAGCCTTTGATACCAGGCAGCCTGGATTCTCAGTCTTTATTCCCTTCTCAGCAGGCATGGTCTTAAGTTTCCTTACCTGCAAGCCACTTGCAGATTTACGGGACAATAAACGAGAGCCTGAAGCATGTAGCTCAACCCCTGGCATTAAGAATGATTTGGTAGCTGCCTTTGTTACTGGTTTCATTTCTTTATCATTATTATCCTTATGTATCTCAGCATCTCTCACTCCTTCAGCAAGTTTTTCCTGCCCTCAGAATTCTTAACAGCAGGGTGACCCCGTGTTTCTCTTGGGTTCCACCTTTTTTTGAATTAAATATTTATTTATTTATTTATTTATTTATTTATTTTGAAAGAGAGAGAGAGCAAGTGCGAGCAGGGGGAGGAACAGAGAGAGAGAGAGGGAGAGAGAGAATCCCAAGCAGGCTCCGTGCTGTCAGCACAGAGCCCCACGTGGGGCTCGATCCTACGAGCCGCGAGATCATGAACTGAGCCAAATTCAAGAGTCGATGCTTAACTGACCGAGCCCGCCAGGCGTCCCATGGAGTTCCATCTTCAAGGAACAGCTCAAAACAGAGACACTGAGAGGATTCCCGGTGCTGCTATCTGTAAAACTCAGACACCTCCTTATGGGGCGGCTCTGTTACTGTGCGTGTGTGTATCCTCACAGGAGTGTTGTAGGAGTGAAAAGTGTTGGTTGTAACATGACTGCTCAGATAGAGCTCGGGCCCCCCGTGGCTCTCCTCCCACCCACAAGTTCCTTCGCCTGGGAATTTCCATCTTCTGGCAATATACTTTTGAGATGTAGCATCACAGAAGCACATCGCCAGTATTTTATCCCGAAATAACCCTGTCTGAACTTGAAGCCAACAGCCCCATTCCCAATCGCCTTCTCCTCCTGAGTTCACAATGGAGCCCGTTTCATCCACCTTTCCCCAGTGGCGGGTTTCTAGAATTCTCCCCACTTTGATTTTCTAATTAGTCTTTACTGCAGAATTGGCCTAAGTGAAACAGAGGGCATGACCTTTTCTCACGACTCAGGAATGATGTATCTACGACTGTATTCCAAGATGGCATCAACTTCTGAGGAGCGTTGCCGACCTTACTGCCAAAGAATGTGGGGGCGTTAGTCGGCACTAACCATTGTCAACACATATCCTCTATTGTGACCTGCAGTTGATTTTTGGAACTTAATGCAGGCGCTTCAGTCAATGAGCAAGATGCTTTCTTGACCTGTGACATTTTTACTGGTCCCGATTCCACTTATTTATAACAACATCACCCTTCCGGTCATTCGCACCACTCCGTGCTGACCTGATACTGAACCTAGAAACCCAAATAACCCCTCAAAGTAATGTCAGTGCCTTCGAACATTCCAGGACAATGCTTCCCACATGAAAAATAAGTAAAAATGTACTGCCATACAACCAGCATATGAAAGCCTGTGCAAAAAGTGAGGCGTTATTCATGGTGTAGAAGAATTCACTTTAGGAAAAAAAAAAACAACACCTCATTTTGACATTTTATCAAAAGCAGGTTTGAGTACATTCGTATGATTTGATGGATGTAAGAACATTACATTAGCACTCAACTTTCATGAGTATTTCCCTCCAACTAAATGAGAACCTTTCTGGGGCGCCTGGCTGGCTCAGTCTGTCGAGCATCCAACTCCTGATTTCAGCTCAGGTCATGATCTCGTGGTTTGTGGGATCGAGCCCTGTGTTGGGCTCTGTGCTGACCAGCCTGCTTGGGATTCTTTCACTTCCTCGCTCTCTCTGCCCCTGCCCTGCTCTCTCTCTCTCTCTCTCTCTCTCTCACAATAGTTTAAAAGTTTAAAAATTTAAATGGGAACCTTCCTCATTTCGGTCCTCAATGAGTCAGTACATCACTGGAGTAAATCGCCAGCCCCACACCAGGACCTCCAACGACAGTGGAGCAGGGCACAGACTTGCTCTCCCCACCTCGCTGGCATCTGCCACTTTGTTCCCTTCGCTTGACTGCGGCCACAGTGTTTTCTCTGTCTCTTGAACACAGCACATGCATTTCCTTCTGCCGCCCCTGCACTTGTGATGTGCAGAATCACTCTTCTCCGTTCTTTGCAGGGACGTGTTCTCAGCATTCTGATCCAGCAGCAAATGCCAGCCCTTCCTCGGGGCTCTCCCTGTGCCTCTAATGTTAACTCCCGGCCCATTTAAACTCTGCCCCGTTTAATCACAATTCCGAGCCATAACCTTGACTTATTTTCTTCATGGAACTTTTCACTGAGATATAACCATACATCTTGTTTATTCCCAGACAGTGCCTGTTAGTGTCTGCTTTCCCTGTGAAATTAATTATTCTCAAAAGTGTTCTGGTTTAAGTACTAAATTATACAGAGATCATATTTATCACTTCTAGAAATGTTTATGTATTTTTCCATATTATTCCTGGGTGTCTCTTCACTAGAATGTATGAACAGGGACTTTGTGCCAGGCAATTATCTAGGCTCTGGCAAGACAACAGTGAATAAAAAAAAATCATAAGGACGCCATAAATATTTTTTTTGGTAGAACCAATTAAATGAATGAATTGCAAGCTTTCATATAATGTGCTTGTGCACGGACACATAAATGGCCTTAAGTAGAAATTCTGGTTCAGGTTTTAAGCCATAGTTATTCAAACTTACACTGCAAATAATATATAAGAAGGGAGAAAGTCACCCTCATTTGGAGGAGTGAGATTGCAAAGTAATTGTCAGAAAGTTTATTGAGAAAGAACTTTCTTTGGAAACGTTTCTCCTACTACACAGCACGAAGCTTCCTGAAGAGGCAGTGGCTTATCTATTAGGAGCTGAGGTCCCCTCAGCACCGTTGCCAACTTTTTCTTTTCGATATCTCGCTTTGGTCTATGACAAGTTATTCTAGAGAACCCAGGCAGCATTCTTGCAAAAAGCAATAATGCCCACTCTGTGGATGAGATATGCATCACAATCCCGAAAATCAGCAGAAAATTTCATCCTCCACGAAAAGATAAATATTAACATCGAGTGAAAAGGGGTCCAGTTTTTTGTTTTTTTGTTTTCAAAATTATGCCAGGGCCCCTCCAGGCATTTTCCACCTTGATTTTGATTTGGGGGAACCTCAGTCACTTGAGAAGGGCAGTCTACATTGGCTCAGGATCTGGCCCGATAAAGGTGGAGGGCACGGTCGTTAATTTGCACCCCACAGTTTATATTCCTTTTATTACTAAACGGACACGGCGGGCAAGAGAAGTGTGGTGCATGTTTATTATTTGGGGGCATAGTTTGTTCAGCACAGAGGACAGTAATATGGGGGGGGGACCCCAAGGCTAGCTTTTGTAAGTGGAGCGTTTGTGTGAATTAAGAACAGATTCTCCTCTGAGAAGATAAACTGGGAAAAAAAGCTGAAGCTGTGTTTCAACCTCCATTTTTCCCCTTGGCTCAGAAACTTAGGGCAGGGTACCATCTACTGTCCTTCATGTGGAGGCCCTTAGAAATGGGCACGCATTAGATAGCGGAGAATTTCAAGTTCAGTGGTGCGTAAAACTGATTGAAATCAAAATCTGCCCTGGTAACAGCTTAGATCTGCACTTAGTTCTTTCCTACCGCAGGGACGACCATTCCCATCCGTGTCCCAGACAAAGCATCATCAGTCCGGAGGTAGGAACTTGCAGGAGACCATTGCTCCCAGTCTTAGGGTGAGAACCGGTCAGGTAAGTCACGTGATCATAGGTATTTTTAAAAGCAACGTAGGCCTGAGAACAGGGGAAAGCTAAGTGATCTGAATCCCAGTAAGAGACAAGCCCTTCCTAGAAAAGAAAAGAAGCTCTGATTACTTTTATCCTTGGCACAGTTCTCTCTACCTCAGAAATAGTAGGATGTTTTACCCAAACGTCTTTCAGCTTTTCATCACAGGATGGAATCCGGGGGATTCCTGGTCACAGTGCGAATCCACCCCCACCCCCACCTCTTTCTCACGGGCCCTTCACTGAGGGCCCACAGTAGCAGCACCAAGGGCCCCAGCCCCGTAGGCTGCACAGAACCTTTCCTGAGTACGTGGCAGGGCCCTACTGAAGGCTTCGGGTGGCGCGGACCGAGAGAGATTCCCAAGGCATCACAGGCCTTTGCCGAAGGCAAGGCAGGAAGCAGCCAAAGCCTGATCGTAGCTGGATGAAAAATACGTCTCCATCTCCCGAGGGTCAGGAAGCTGGCTGCTGGCTGGTAAATCCTAGAGAGATGCTCAGATTCTTACCAGTTCTCAGACCCTAAGGCTTGCTGAAGGGGAAGCCTCTACCCCGCTCTCCAAGTATTGGAAGCCAGGGGGAACTGAATCCAGTTAAAGCTGCCACAAAGCCCACACGCAACCCCATTACAGATGTCGGATTCAGCTTCTAAGCCTTTTCCGAAGGGCAGATATTACGTATTAACTTCTCAGTTATTCTTCCACCTAGAATGTCCAGCATGAAACGGTAACAACTAAAGAGGCAAACGAGGAGGCAAGAGAGTGCGATCCATCATCAGGAGGAAAAAACTCGTCATAGAATCAGACCCAGAGACATCGATTACGGAATTAGCAGGCATGGGCTGTAAAGTAATCCCAGTAACGGTGTTCGAGGATTTGAGGGGGAAAGATGCTTCAAAGAGCATGCGATGAACACGGGCAGAAGCTGGTCTGTGCCGGAGAACAGAGAAATCTAAAAACCCATGATCAGAGTAAGAGCTTCTCGGCGCGCCTCTGGGTAACCGAAGAGAGCACAGGTCATATAGATCTAGGGGCTTTGGACATACACGTGAACCAACTTGACCTGACCCACCCCAACACGGCACACAAGCTACGAGTGTATCCAGAAACGCTTACCGCCACCAACCACGTGCTGGGCCATCAAATCAGTCTCGCTTAGTTTTAAAAGAGTGACATCACAGGAAGTGCCTTTGCTTGAGACCCTCAGGGACCCGGGGAACAAGCGCCAGGCGAGAAACCCTGTGCACCTGGGGCGCTTCCCACTGGCTGTTACTGCTAAACCGCCTGTGTCGCAGAGTAGAACCAGGAGGCGGCCGAGATGTGACCCCTTATGGGAGCCCCACTTAAAACAGGACCCGGCTCCCAAGAGTGCCAGTGAGCTGCCTGGGTTGCCTGCCGATATCGGCCAATCAGGAGGAGGTGCTCTTTTTCCTCTTCCCTCATTAGCATATTGGACGGGAGTGGGAACCTGAGGGAAACCCTTTCTGTATAAGCAGGGCCCCCCTCTGCCCCCAGAGGCCAGCCTGACTGATCCGTGTTGGTGCTGGGGCTTCCTTGGGCTCTGCTGCAGCCCCAGTAAAGCGTGGCCCGTGCCTTTGATTTTCAGGTCCTGCGACACTCCGACGGCAAATATTAAAAATCATCGATGATATGATGTCTAGAAGAGCTCAAGTGGGAAATTATGCAACAGCAACAACAACAAATCTGTGATTCAAAGGGATATTACAAAGGATGTTAGAGAATATTTAGAGCCTGCTTGACAATGAAAACAACATATCAAAATGCATATGCAGCCTGAGGCAGTGTGAGAAAGGAAGTTTATGGTCCTGTGCACGCAGATCATTGATTTCTTGCTTCTTCCCTTTTCCTACAAACATCCGTGTCCAGAAGGTACAGATAATTAGGGTAAGAGCAGAGATCAATGAAATAAAGACTGGACAAATGATAGAATCAACAAGAACAAAAAGGAGGATACGCTGAAAAGACCTACAAAACCGAGGAATCCCAAGCTAGATTAATCAATAAAAAAAAGAAGGTGCAAATAATCAGTATGAGAAAACTTTTTTGTGTGTTTTTTCATGTTTATGTATTTTTGAGAGAGAGAGAGAGAGACGGGGTGTGAGCGGGGGAGGGGCAGAGAGAGAAGGAGACACAGAATCTGAAGCAGGCTCCACGCTCCGAGCTGTCAGCACAGAGCCCGACGCGGGCTCGAACCCACAAACTGTGAGAACATGACCTGAGCCGAAGTCAGATGCCCAACCGACTGAGCTGAACGTGCCCAAAACGTGTGCATTTTATTACATGAAAATCATACTTCAATAAACACAAAATGAAGCAATTATGGAAAGGGTATCTCCGACCATGGGAACTGCTTCCTGAGCACATGGCTGGCACTTAGCAATCCTGTGTGTATGCCGCTTTCTTAACCACTGCCACATTAATGGTGACAAGAAACACTTCACGTTTGGGATAGGATTCGCAAACTCTGAGAGAGTAAACAGCGTACTCCAGGCTTTAGAAAGCGCGTGGCAACATCAGGACTGAAACTCAAGTTTTTTCGCCTCTTAGTTTCTGCTTTTCCCAACAAGAATACTTTGCTATCCTTACCTTAGGAAAGCCCTGACGTAATGTTGCTTGTTTCGTCCTGAACCTCTGAACTTCACTGGCTCGTAATTGGAATGATTATAATTTTATAGCAATGCATGCATTTGGAATTCTGACTTAATTAAGAGTCACCCGATGATCTGAATTAGAACATTTTCCTTGCCTTCAGTCTCGGGCTTTGGAGCACCACTATCTGGGTGGATGCTTCCATATGCCCCCATAGCAACGTAAGCTTCCCTCCGCCGCGATGTCCAGTCCATGGCCCCCGCTTTTCTGTTTCTACGTCTGCCTCTGTCCATCATTAGTCTCAGAGCTTTCCTGTGTGTGGGTAGAGGAGAAATTATTTCTTATTCATCTTGTATCCCAGGCTTATTATAGTGTGTGGCACTCAAATACTTAATGAATAAACACGTAGGGCAAATGCCTCAGGGGAAGCTGGCACCTCCTGGTCCGCCTTGTGTCACCACAACTGCATCGATACATTGATTAATAGCTTGTCTGGAAGTGGCACCTGGGTGGCTCAGTCAATAAGCGTTGGACTCTTCAGCTCGGGTCATGATCTCACAGTTCGTGAGTTTGAGCCCCGAGTCGGGCTCTGCACTGACAGTGTGGAGCCTGCTTGGGATCCTCTCTCTGTCCCTCCCCCACTTATATGCTCTCTCTTTCTCAAAATAAATAAATAAACTGAAAAAAATTAATTTGTCTGGAAGGAAAGGTCCTTTATGATGCAGTTGATGATATTAAAAGTAATATTTTCATTGTGCTATTAAATGTAGCATTGTTCAGTTTGCTTGCTTATTGGCCAGTATCCGCATGGGGCAGAGAGTGTATGGAGATAAACATCTGTAGTGGCTGGAACAGTCTTGAACGTATTATAGTAGCTGCTTAGTTTGTGAAATGAACAAATGTGTGTTTACGCTTCTGTAACACGAGTACAATTCTGCAAACTTCCCTGTCTTTCTCTGAATTGATCCTGCTTTCTGTATCTTGTTAATGCTCCCTTCTTTACCCAAGGCATTGTCTTCCATTTTGGAGTAAGATTTTAGGGTGTGCTTTTTACATATGGTCCTCATTACACAATTATTCTTATTTATAGTATAACATAGATATTAGCCTTTTTGTATATGCATAATCAGCTTTCCCGGCACTATTTATTCAATAGCTTAGCATTTCTTTGATTTGTAGTGTCATTTACCAATGTTCTGTATATTAGCAGACAATTGTGTGTTCTTTATTCTTTCCTGTTAGCTATGTTGGCATTGACATCATAGTGTTTGAATCACTGTTTAAAATTTTTTTTTTACATTTATTTATTTTTGAGAGACAGAGAGAGACAGAGCACGAGTGGGGGAGGGGCAGAGAGAGGGAGAGAATCCGAAGCAGGCTCCAGGCTCCGAGCTGTCAGCACAGAGCCCGACGCGGGGCTCGAACCCACAAACTGTGAGATCATGACCTGAGCTGACGTCGGACACCCAGCTGACTAAGCCACCCAGGCACCCCAAATCACTGATGTTTTATAATGTTTGATACCTAGTAAGACATTTTTTCCCTAAATATTTTTAAATATTTATTTATTTATTTCCTTGCGGCAGAGAGAGAGAGAGAGAGAGAGAGAAAGAGAGAGAGAAGGAGCAGGAGCAGGGGAGGGGAAGAGAGAGAAGGAAAGAGAGAATCTTAAGCAAGTTCCATGCTCACCAGGGAGCCCTAAGTGGGGCTAAATCTCACAACTGTGAGATCATGACCTGAGCTGAAATCAAGAGTCAGATGAACGTTTAAATGCCTGAGCCACCCAGGTGTCCCAAGCAAATTTTTGTTTTGTTGAAACTCATTTGTCCTCTTTTTCCATTTTACTAATTTATTATCTAATACATCTGCCCTATTTTTATTTTTATTTTTATTTTGTCAAGTTTATTTATATTTTGAGAGAGACAGAGGCAGTGCGAGTGGAGGAGGGGCAGAGAGAGAGGGAGAGAGAAAGAATCCCAAGCAGGCTCCCTGCCACCAGCACAAAGTCTGACATGGAGCTCGAACCCACGAGTTGTGAGATCATGACCTGAGCCAAAATCAAGAGTCGGATGCTTAACCGACTGAGCCACCCAGGCGCCCCTGCCCTAGTTTTCAAAGCTTATTTTAAGTTTGTAATGTCTCAAGACATTTACTTTTAGTGTTTTTTCTTAACGCCCGGATTCCCCCTTTCCGGCCCTACTTCGGAGGACCGTGATAAGGTACTCTTCACGTCATTCAGTTCCTAATATTTCATAGTTTCCTGTGTGGGTAACTTACCAACTCATGAGTGGTTTAACAGGGCTCACTTTCAAGTTTATGTGTGTTGCTGATTTCTGATTACTTGAAGTTTGGCTCTGAGATTCTGATCTGAATGCATATCACTTACAATCCCTGCAGGAGATGAACACCACCTTCAGGCGAGTAACTGAGGACAGTTTAATGAGAAGGCTGTACACACATGTGTGAGCAGGGTTTTAGGAAACCAGGAGGGGAGAGTGGAAACACTAAATTTAGCACCAACGGGAAGCCATTACCACTCTCAGAACTGAAGGTTTGGGAGAGGAAAAGCTGACCAGAACAGAGAGAGGGGCTCCTGTAGGAGCTGTTGTCTTGGGGGAGAAACTTCTTCAACCTACAGCAACCCATCACTGAGGAATCCAGAGAATAAGTCTTCCTTTTTCACTCTGTTTCCCCATCCAGTCTCCTGCCAATACTTCCCATCAGTTCGAAACCAACCAGAGCCCGATGGCAAGGGAACCACAGAGGAGGCCCCTGTAGCACTACCCTCCTACCCCCTAGGTTCCCTGCACATGGAAGAAAGTCAGAGAATGGAGTTGGATGGTGTAACGGAAGTGTCCAGGTCTCCTTGGGACCTTCTCTTACCTTCCTCTCATTCAAGTAAAAATAACTATGTTCCCAACATAGGGAACAACAAAGTTCCATGAGCCGTGCTATCATTAAGGAGTGATGTCAATACCAGAAGACTAAAATATTAGCCAAGCCACCACCTGTCTTCTTAATAAAGTCAATGGGGGGTAAAGATGGAGAAAAATGAATGAATAACAAAAGCCATAGCTAATCGATCTCTGGTTTTGGATTTGTCAGGATGCCTAAGTTGATAATTATAACTGTCATTTTTCACTATGAATTTCATGTTCCCTTTATGCCCTTTCAGTACCTTAGCTGGATCGGCTTCTTTGCCTGTGAAGTCTTTCAAACTTTCCTTCCTTTATGTTCCAAATCTCTAGTGTTCCCGGCTTTACGGGGCTGTTGCAGTGTTCCATTGACCAGGACTATTGGCAAAGGAGACCGTGTCACTCAGTGGCTTCCCTGAGTTCAGACATTGTCTTCCTTGTTTCCGTGTGCAGCAATAAATTGATCTTCCCTTGGTTTGGCTGGGCAGTCCTTTTATGGCTATTGACTCGGCAGTGCAAGGGGACCGCTCTGGGCAGGCATCGGCTTGCAATTCATCACCATCCTCTCTCTCTCCCTTGGACACTGGGGCCAATCCATCCTCAAGTTGGGAGGACCAAACAATGTCTTTTGTGGGTTATTTGTGGTAATAATGATGAGTCCACTTTCTTCTCCACCTATTTGTTCGAGACTCGTGCGTTCTAGCTATGGGGAAATGGCACTACATGTCACCTACTAAGATTAGGGTTTTCAGTAGGGCATGCTACCTTTTTATTAAGCCACCTGCG